AATAGATTTTGGTTTGACTGTATCTATTTGATAAATGAAGTTAACCAACTAACATTATACATACCCTTTTGGTTTCTATACCCAATATTTAAAAAATGTACAAATGCAATAAAAGTATCGGTATCGGTACTCGGTATCGGCAAGTACCAAAAATAAAAGTATCGGTATCGGGCGAGTACTGGAAAAAGTGGTATCGGTGCATCACTATAAAATAGTCCACGTGACATCAGTGTTTCAACAGTAATGTTATAAAGCTATGAAAATACTTTTTGTGTGCAAAGAAACAAAAATAACTTTACTCAACAATTTCTTCTCTTCCGTGTCAATTTCTGCCGTGCATAAAACAGTCTTTGTAAACATGTCTAAAGATTTCGAAAGAGAGGATGACTTGAAATATTTTTGCCCGGCCTTACTTATTCAAACCAGAACATACAGATGATGAACTAAGTGAGATGAACGTTCTACATCAGAACGCCAGCTCCTGCGTCAGTAGCACCACAAGCATTCGTCATGGTCCTCACGTGAACGTGTGCCGAAGACTGACATGGAAGAGAAGAAATCATTGAATAAAGTCATTGTTTTTGTTTTCTTTGCGCACAAAAAGTATTTTTGTAGCTTCATAAAATTGCAGTTGAACCACTGATGTCACATGGACTATTTTAACGATGTCCTTACTATCTTTCTGGGCCTTGAATGTGGTAGTTGTGTCGCTGTCTATACACGGTCAGAAAGCTCTCGGATTTCATCAAAAAAATATGTTAATTTGTGTTCTGAAGATGAACGAAGGTCTTACGGGTTTGGAACGACATGAGGGTGAGCAATTAATGACAGAATTTTCTTTTTTGGGTGAACTATCCCTTTAACATTAATTTAGCATAAATAATACATTTATTTATATTTTAAAAGTGTTAAAATGAACTAATCTATATAATCATATCTCCTAAATGAGAACAGGCAGCACAGAATGAGATGACCGAGCCAGTTACACACAAAACATACTCTTGCGTTCAGAAACGGGCGGAAAGTCTGCAATGGAATAAAACAGAATCGACAAAGATGAACAGCTTGAAACTTCACACACAGTCATAAAAATTCAACATATTTTCCAAGATGCTACAGAATGAATGCTCAACTAACCTTCATGATTCTTATTTTCAACGAAAATAAATCACAACCCCTGACTTAAATCTCTCTCTAATCCTTTCTATGTCACTGAATTATTTCTTAGCAAATATTGATTTATGCATTTAATTGTGATTTCATTAATTAATTTCAGCATCATGTAATTTATGTTCAAATCGACTGACAGCCCTAATCAAACACACACTGAAAAGGCAGAAAAAGAGAAACTTCAATGACAGCAGCAGCACCACTCATTTGGATCCTTGATTGCAACCAGTCAATCCTCTCACCCCATGAGCTCGAGGATGTGCTGTCTTTGAAGAGCATTGATTTAACAGTAGGAGGGCCTGAACAATTGTCCATCCTGTCATCCCACTGCTGTGCAAATCAAGAGAAGCTTCTCAACTATTTCATGTCTTATTTCTTCTACTCTCCATCTGTCTGAAAGAACCTAGTGGGAACTGTTCATTAAAATGGTTCTGATACAAAGTATAGGAATGGTTATCCTTTATTTACATTCAATCGACCATGAATGCGTGAACCTTCAACCATAGTGAGGGTAACAAACTGAACTATTCACTTTTAATTTCACCTGTTTGAAGAAAAGAGAACGAAATAAAAAATGACTAAAAACCCAAGACATACAAACACATCTGACCCCAGGTCAAGGTCTAAACACAAGCATATCACATCTTCCTTTCCACCAATTCCAATGCACTCACCATCTCTTTCTCCTCCTCTCTGTCCCTCATTCCCTCTCCTGACCCAGAATGTCAGTGGCATTTCTACTTAAAACTCAACAAAAGCTACAGCAGAAAATGAATGCATTAACCGTGAAACCTATCAGGGGAAAGCAGAAACGGCTTACGCAATAAAAGAGACTAGCATTACTTGTGGCGAGGATCATTCTCTCAGCATTTCAGCTGTGAAGGCCCCGGTCACAGTCTCTTATAGTTAGACAAACTCAATGCAATGCTTATTGCAAGACAATGACACAGCCTGTCAATTTTTGAAGATAGATGTGTTACCAAATAAGTAACAAGTATTGATTAAAATGCAGAGATTAAATTAACTCAGGGATGCACTTCTTGTACTAATGATAACCGATAATAAACAGTAGGCTATGTTGTGGGAGATAACTGATCAATTACATTTTTGCCTTGTGAAATTTTTACAACCTGTTCAACTCCAGAAACTGGACATTACAATGCATATAGATGATTTGAGCAATGCATAACTACTGCTTTTTAGATGGTTTTATAATTTGCTTCAGGCTGTTTCAGTAGAGCATAGAGCAACAGTAGCATGAGTCCAATGAATCTTGACATTTTCATCATGCAATATGTATATGGGTACGTCTTCCAACATGGTTGTTTGAGGAATGAAAAGCTAGAGACTGCAACAGTTAGGGTTACACAGCTGTTGCAAAACAAACAACATGCCAGAAACACATTAATCACTGCAATAACGATATAATCCTAGCATTTCATCCTTCAGTATTTGCTTATTTAAATCCAAATAGCAACTTTTTTCCTCCAGGCAAGTATATATTACATATATTAGGGGTGTAATGGTAAGGTTGCATTCATAGCGCTGGATAAACAAAACTTGTACAAGAGGTGATGGGTCTTGAGGCAAGCATACAAAAAAAAGAAAAAAAAGAACAGGGGATATTACAGATCTACAATTTAAAATCAATGTGCAGTCATACTCTGTTACACAACAGTAAACATGCGTCAGCCCTTACCTTTGTTGGACTCTCCACATCATTTCCCTTTGCAGTGATGAGGGGCACTGGAGAAGAAATCAAACAGGAAACATCAGATCTCAACAATGAGGGCTCCATTAACATGCTGACAGAACTGCAAGTCTAAAAGCCCATGGTTTTCTAATGTAAATGTTACGTGCTTCTTTAAGAAGAGGGAGTTAAAAGCCAGCTGATTAAAGGAGAATCTCTTCTCCTTTAATCTGTACCAGCCGTTAGGGACTTCTGTCTGTACCACATGTATTTTGCAAAGTTTTTCATTAGAGCAGGAGAAGCTTCTCTCAAATTGCATTTCCATTGATCCTGAGAAGAGAGTCGTTTTGCGAGGAGCCTAGAAATCGATATTGAGCGTCAAAACGGCAGTTGCAGAGATGACTTTTGGTGCCAGTGAAATCATTGGGAGTGAGCTTCGGTTTCTGAGAATACGACAGCCATTAGGCTGTCCTTGGATCAGTTCGTAATTGCTCCTTTTACTTATCCACTGCTCGGGTGACATTATAAGAGCAGAGCCGTGAAGGTGTGCATTAAAAATCCAGATTAACTCGTATGAAGGTTAAAAGGCATTTGCTTCTCGCTACTTCACAAGTCCATTCACAACCTGTGAAGTCTTCTTTTATATAACTCTTTAATGAGGCTGAGGTTTGCACCTCTAAGCCAATAGTTAGTTTGAATTTTATATTGCTTCTTTACCCGTGGCCCTCTATGCTTGCAACTAAATTATTTATGGAGTCCAGTTCTTTGTAGATAAAACTAAAAAAAAACTCTTGAGAACCCTGCAGAAAAATTTCAGCATTATGTTTTTCATATAAACATACAAATGGTGCCAAAATCCAAGAGTACGCAGCAAAAAATAAGTTGCGTTTCTTTGCCTGGTGTTATGCTCAATATATTAAATATGCATAAATGAATGGCTCCGTGCTGAAAATGTCTGCTGGCTGTTTAAGCGAAAACATCTTTAAATTCATTAATGTGGACAGCGATGGCAACTAATATCTAACACTTGTTAAAAGAAGACGACTGGTAAACATAGCCATAGAGAAAAGTGTAAAGAAATCTAGACTTGGCAGCATTAAAATTCCAAGTGAACTTCAAGATGAGGAAACATTGAGCAATATCACAAACGAGGGGAATCAAAAGGTCATGTGTAAATGTAACATGATTATGTGAGCTCATTAGACTCAAAGAGCGCGAGTGGCTCGGAGGATCTAATTAGTCATGTGGGCATGAAAATAATGTTGCTGAACAAATGATATTAATAACATTGTATAGGTGCCTATTTGTCTTTTTATTTTATATTTAATGTCACACTGTTTGCACACACAGCTTTACTGCCAAGCGAGTTCAGGGAATAATCCAATATGCTCACCTAAACTTTTCTCCTTTTCACGGGCCATTGAAAAGGCCAAATTAATTTAGTTAATCAGTTTGTTTGGATGCTTAATGTGAATGAACAGAGCTTAAAAAAGTCCCTGTGCAGCACTTTATGTTATATTTGTAACAAAATATTTCTTTTTTTAAATGCTATACAGTATTCATTTTTTGTATAGTGTATATGTATCTTGTCTATTATAATATTAGCAATTTTATGCATGTTTCAATTGCACTAATTATTTTCATTTGTTGTCATATACCATTCAAATGTCTGGGGATAGTACTTTTTTTTAAAAGAAATTAATAATTGTATTCATCAAGGCTACATTAAATTGATCAAAAGTAAGTATTTTTAAAACTATTAAGTTCTTTTTAACTTTTTTCTTTAAAAAAAATAGAAAATGGTATCCACAAAAACTTTTCCACATTAACACGTTTATTAAAAATAATAATAATACATGTTTCTTGAGCACCAAATCAATATATTAGAATGATATCTGAAGATATCATTCTAATGATATCATGACACTGAAGACTAGAGAAATGACTGCTGAAAATTCAGCTTTACCATCACAATAATAAATTACATTTTTAAATATATTAAAATTAGTGCTGTCAAACGATTAATCACGATTAATCGTATCCAAAATAAAAGTTTTGTTTACATAATATATGTGTGTGTACTGTGTATATTTATTATGTATATATAAATACACACACATACAGTATATTTTGAAAATATTTACATGTATATATTTATATTTATATAATTTATATTATATATACAATTATTTTAAATTGAAACAGTATTTAACAATTTCAAAGTTCTTACTGTATTTTTGATTAAATGAATGCAGTCTGGTGAGCATAAAAGACTTATTTCAAAATATTAACCAACCCCAAACCTTTAAAGGGTTTCATATTTATGTCATATTAACACATATGTAAATATAAATACTTATTACATACATATTTCTAAACATACACGTATTTGTGGATATTTATATATACATATAAACACAGTACACACATATATATTATGTAAACACAAACTTTTAATTTGGATGTGATTAATCACATTTACAGCACTAAAAATTTTTTTGCAAATGTTTTAAAATTATCTCCCAGAACCCCTTAAGCAGCCACTTTCTCTCTTTCTTACAAAATGTAAGCCATTAATAATAAATAACCCATGGTTGGATGGATTTGCTCTGCCCTGAACATCATTGCTGCTCTTTTCCCACTGTGGCTGAATCATAAAGGGCCATGGCATTTTCAGCATATCAGTGGGCAGGATGAGTCGAGGCCAGAGACGATATATAGGTCTGCTGTTGCTGTCAGATAATTCCCCCAACAGTTCTACCCAAGCATCGGGTTGTTTACAGCTGACGAATGCACACTGCTACTGACTATCATCAGGATAGCTTCTCTAATGTGCTCTGCTCTCACAGCGTCAAGAGCTCACAATTTCACCTCAAATCTAATATTCTGTATTAGTGCTCCGACAGGATCGCAAAAGTAAAGCAATACGGGAGACTCATAATACTACATCTCCCCGAGCGTGCCATTAAAACGATTGTAAAACGCAAGAAATATGTTTTATATAAAAAGCTGAGCGCAATTCACCAGCATTCAGTTTCATTCAGCCAAAACATCTTAAAGAGAAAAAGAACCATTAAGCATAGATCCATCTTGAGTTCTAAATAAATAATTCCACATAAATAAGAGAAACTGTAGAGTGAGAAAATAGGTTTCAACAAAGAAAAATCGCTTCTTTCAGCAGCAAGACAGGCGCTACATTCTCACATGGACTCAAAGAGTCTGTCAGGGTGGATTAAATATGCAACATTTGGCTTGAAAACCTCGGCTTCCTTCAGGAATGCATCCAAGTTCACTCCTCGTTCTCTGACATCTGTCGCAAACTTTCAATCTTTTCATGCCGGTCCCCTGAGGATGTTAGGGCGAGATAGACACACACAAGGGCCATTTACCAGCTCTCTGAGCACTACTTACACGTGGCCGCTGAGACTGCATCACTGTATAGTGCCCTCCTTGCTTTTGACAACCGCTGGCTATATTCTTGATAAAATACTGTGAGAAAATCATTTGCCTGAACTGACATCTGCGCACGATTTTTTCATGTGTCTCCCAGACAAATGCAAAGAACAGATGCTCTTTCAGATAAAGCAGAACAACAAAGAAAAATGAGGGAAATTAGAAGCTTTGGATGAAAGTTGTACTTGGGTAATCAAAGGGTTTTCAAAGTTTGTTAGGACGAATGGATGCACAGTTCCTGGGAACAAATACGGATACTTCCCTGCTACACAGTTTGTAAAAAGTAGTATGTCAAATCAGCAGGATGCCTAAATGCTCAGTATTCATCATATAAAGCAAACAATAACCAAACTACTTGCTGCATTCGTTGAGATTTTGAAGATAATTATTAAAAATAAAATTGAGGTTGATACGTACTGTAAAAAATGACTGATTTTAACGGTAAAAGACTGTAAAAATACTACAGTAAAAACCTTTTAGTTGGTTAACGGTAAGTTCCCCTACTATATATGATGAAAAACTGTATTGGACATTACCATGTAATTTTACGATAGTATAACCCAGTGTTTCCCAACCTTTTTTAGGCGCGGCACCCTTTGGAAATTTTAACAAACTTGTGGCACCCTACAAAATTAATTTTGTCACAATATTTGAATTTCTAACTTCGATATGATAATTTGAAAAGTATAGATATTTGGTACAACAGGGAAAAACTGCAGAATATAATGTTTGAAACTTGATTTCAAACTTTGAATTGAATAAAAAAAATCACAAGTAAGCAGTCAGTAATAAAATAAGAACAAATAAAGAAATTAATAATGATAGCAGGCACCCCTGCTCTCGACAGACGGGCACCCCGGTTGGGAAACACTGGTATAGCCTACAGTTTTTGGAAGTGAAAAAGAACATAATTTACAGTGAATAACCATAAATTAACATTCCCAGAATTCCCTGCATTACATTTCACATTTGATGTTTTTTCATTGAAATAACGGTTTCTTCTTAGTTTTTTCTTATCACTTTAGATTAGGGTTGTATACGTTACATCTAATGTTGTTAAATTAATGTTTATTGCATTATTTCAGTTTCATGCGTGTTACCATGATGGTGTTTAGCATTTGTGTGAATGACACTGTGCCCCTTCTGGGCAATTCCACCGTTACGGACGTGACATTTGCAGTCAAAACCTGATAAATTCTCATAAATTATATTAATTACCAATATATTGAACCATCTCTTTATATTTTTCTAAACCCCTTAAAATAGAGTCCAGACATCAAAGTATCAGTCTATAAACCTGTTTTATATTTTAAATGAAAGAAAAACATGCGTTACGGACGTGACAAAAAAAGACACGAGTTTCTGGGAGACAACATATTTTGTAGACTTTCCACGATTTACAATGCACAAACCAGAAGCAACAATATCTGCCGAATGGAGAAGGGTTGGCTATTTACAAAGCATAAAATATCAATTTTAAATTTAAATAAAATTTTCGTTTTTGTGTTTCACAGGAAAAATCAATGTTACAGACGTGACATCTCTCCGTTACAGACGTGACCATTCTTAAAGCGGAATTTATCTGACTATGAAAACGCCTATA